AAACACCAATAAGCCGCATATGCCCATCCTCAAGAATCGAAACAGTGCCATCATATCCGTCATGAAGCATGCAATGAGATTCTTCTGAAAGAAAACTGATTCAACTACGACATGAACGTTGACATTCGATTAATACTAAAAAATTAACCAAACATTAATTACTAATTGTTTATCAGTGATATAAATATTGTCACTGTAGAAAGCAATAATGTAACAGTTTGTTTATAAAACTTCAAGTCATAGATTTTCACGATCGTTCGATGAAAAGTGGCAACTAAACTAATCTGCTCACTGAGAAAGTTTGTTCTAAATCCCTAGGCTCAGTTTATGAAACTGCGGTGATCAGTAACTGTGAATTTTTCCATGTGAAACACATTCGCAAATCTGCTATGATGAACGCCAGTCTGCCTTTAACGTCAAATAACTGGCATAACTGGAGAGAAGGTTGCACAGTACTTGCAGTGCCAGTTTGAAAGTTAGGTGAGGAGTTGAAGCCAAATCTATTCATTTTTTGAACCGATGACTCATACCTCAGAGGTCAGACGCAACTAGCACAGAAACGGATGGCAAGTCGTTGACTAGGGTCAACATCGTATTTCTGTGTGGTCGTGTCAGAACTTGTGAGACAGTCGACTCTGCTGTCTTTCCGATGAGCATTACGCTGGCAATTCGCCTTGACCCAACTCACAACTTGCTAATAATTAGCACATGGAGTAACCCGCAAATAAATAAACAACGTTATATAAATTCGCGACATTTACCTCAGGGCATAAGGATATGATGTATGTGACACATCGTACCAGTCACACATTGGATTGACTATCATATTTCTCTAATTATTAAACGCATAGAACTCAGAACAGTTTCTTTTGCATTTCCTCGACGAAGTTCTGAATATGACCAAGAGCATGAGTAATAGTGCGGCGCTACGATGATGCCCTGCCTTGTCCAATGCTGAGGAACAAGGAATGAATACATTCATATAATTTATATGTGTGACAAGACCCTGTAATCTGAACTAGTAACAGCAATGAGCATACATAGATGGGCCTTCGCACCCACAAGAGAAGCCGGGCGTTTTAGTAACTGTTCAATAACTGTCCCCCTGATTGGTTCCTGGTGACCGTTAAATTTGAACCAAATTTTGAGGTTAATTCAAGTGTCATCTTCATCTTCCATCGCCGCTTTTCCTTTCGGGTCGCGGAGGCAGACACGTCAGAGAGAGCTTCCAACGTTCCCGATTATGTGTCAGAGTCTGATCTTCGGCAGAAGACAGA